TAATCTAATATAGAGATAGAGAGATAGATTATACCAGATACTGTTCAAGTGTAATTCTCACAATCTTATTTAACTCTTTAATATAGGCACTCAAGGAGCTACACCTTGATTATAATCAAACGGGAGATAATGGAGCACAGCATCTAGCCAATGGATTAAAAGATAATAGAGTAAACAATCTTTCTAACTGATTTTCTAAATATAGATCTTCAATCTCTCTCATACACACTTACATCAACTTGTTGATTATCAACATTAATTGAATCTGTTTTGAAATCATAATCCAAATTTTCAAAAAGATTATCAAATAATTCTGCATGAATTTGACAAATTTCGATCTTAGATTTCGATTGAATCTGATGAGAATATTCTACTGAGATAGTGAAGAATTATGTAACACTCTGTTTTGTGTGATAGAAGAATTCCAGTATTATTAATTTTAGCTGAAAATAAAAAACTAAATTTTTACTTTCGTAGTTCATTAGTGAAGATTTTTTCGGTTTTGTCATATCAAGTGAGTCATTATTGAAAATAATAGATTCAAGATTTGATTCGAAAATGATTACCGAAACAGTTTTGTAGAAGTGTTTTCATTGAATATCTTGAGAAAAGAACTATTTTGACCGATGAAAATGCCTGATATTTTCAATAGAAAGAAAATCTATTTCGGCTATAAATTTTACCCGAAGTTAAAAATTCAATTTTTAAATCAAAAATTTATTAATTGAGAATTTTCTTGAATTACTTTTCTCAAAATATCTCAAAATGAATAATTTTTAAACTGAGAACTTCTGTTCTTATTCATATGAAGGATTGAATTTCTTCCTCTTCAATAAAATTCTTCTACAGTTTGAATTGAATTTCAGTATTAATTAAAATGTTGATATTATTTAAAAACTATCCAACTAAGAATAGTATTATAAGATATTCTCATTATTACTGAATAAACTAAGAAATGTCGTAATAAAATGGTATATGTTCCATCGCTTCATTTGTCAAATATCGATGCATGAGAAACTATTGAATTAGAGAAATTAAGAAATTAGTGAAAATATTGAAAAAAAAACAACATTTTTCTTTTGCAACAGAAAATATTTCGTTAATATGTTTGTTGACAACAATATTTTCTTTAAATTTATTTTATTTTGCTTAATGAAAACTTATCTGATCAGTTTACATCTTAGAATTTCTTTCTTTTCTTACTTCTATGTTTTAAATAGTCAATAATAGATCGATTTCTTCTAATTCAAGGAATTGCAAAGAAAGTTTTTTTTTATTAAAAAGAGAGAATAACTTCATAATTGAAGCAAAAATACAAATAAAATATAGTCAATCTGACTTATCGATTTTATCATGAGTCAGTTTTTATATTTTTTACATAAAATATTTAAGAAAAAACACAGTTGTATGAGCAACTTTATTTTTTATTTTAGAAAAGTTCTATTTTATGCAATGGTAACTAACATCCTATCATTTTAATCAAAGCCATAATGCTGCCTCACTATTCTATTAGAAGTTCTTGCTAGAGAACTATCACATCAATTCATTTGTGGAGATATCGACAACGTTTATCATAAGAACACTGTCTCTCGTCTCAACGTTCTTCCCCTTTACTATTGAGAATATGTTAGTGTTCTGTAAAAAATTAAACGTACAAAACATCCCTATTTCATTCATTCTGGACTTTAAAGTACAAAATTTTCCATATGTAATCAAAGGACATACATCATCCGAGATCTTCTGTGTACCAACAATTTACGCCTTATAAGATAACGAAAGCAATTGATGTTGCTAATTGGTTAATGATTCTCACCTATTTCTATTGTTGGCTCTTCAAAATCTAATTAAATATATAAGGCTCTAGTAAAATTCAATAGCATGTTACGCTGATAAACTGTTTTATTTAAGATCCCACTTGGATTTTCTTTATATATTTGTAATTTGAGAGTCTCGATTTCCGATTGAAGTCTCTTAGAGATCATTATTAGTAAAGAAAAGATCATTAAACAGAACCTAATATTATTCTAAATAATTAACTTTATCTATCTAATAAATAGTGGATATCACAAATTTTGAAGTTTTGTAGTTCATTAGACTATTATGTCACTTATATTCAGTAATTCATATTGAACATATGTAGATTCTCTATTGCATTTCATACAAACTCAAAATGTTAACGAATCTAATCGGAATATATTGTAATCATAAGATGTGACTAGCAGAAATCAGATGAAGAAAAGCATAAATATACATAACCTAAAGGTTGTCAACTATTGACCTTATCAAGAGTAATATTTGAAACCATTTAAATTTAATTACTTAGGCATTATGAATTCTGAGAAACAGTTTTCAAAGACATATTTCTGCTTTTCTATCAGTATAATTCTAGTATTAAATTCTATTTTATTTTCAATCTCTTTTATGTATCAAAAGTTTATTAGAAATATGAAATGTACTATCCATAATATCTAGACTATCCAGGTAGTCAATGTATCTCTAGTAGGGTTTTAGTAAAAAGATATCAATTGCATATTAAGCACAGTTCGATTTTCTGCATGCATCGAGAACGTTAACTATATAAAATATCTTTCATTTGAAGTTGCATCGTATCTGAACCAAACAAAAAGTGATGATAGTTAAAGCAAACCTTGTTGTTTCTCACCCAAACATATCAATCTACCTAAAATTGCAAGAGATGGAGAAGCCTAATCTATCCGAACTATTCACTCAAAAACATTATAATCTAACAATTCCAATTCTACTGTTTATTTCTCAGCTGAATATTTTTTTCGAAGTCATCTTAAATTAGATCACTAATAACTGATTAATGTTAAAGAATACATTAGATGACGGTTGCATGAACTTGTCAAGCTTTTCTATAGCATCAGTTCAGCGAAGACTAATAAACATTCAATGTAGATGTCACCTATTGATGATTAAAAATTTCTCGCTACAACGAAATACATTTGAACATAAAATTACAAAAACAGGGTTTTTTTTCCATCTAGAGAACGAATAGCGAAGCAATTGTGCATACTAATTTCTTTGTTTCTTTCTTTCATGCATAAAGATAAAACACATATTACCCAAAAAGATGTTTCATTCAGTTGATCATTAGCGATATATAAGACATGATGAAATTTGAACTGTTACCAAATGAAATTTTATTTATATGCTTTGAATATTTGAATGTATTTGATATATTTTATTCATTTGATCAATTAAATGATAGTTTTTCTAAATTTATTCGAAATATTCGGTTTCAACTCAATTTTGAAAATGTACAAAAAGCAATATTTGATAAATTTTGTACAAAGATAAAATTAAATCCCGAAATCAAAAATCAAATTTATTCATTAAAATTATCAAATAAAAATACATGTGGTCAAATTAATGCATTTTTATCAATATTTTCATTCAAAGAATTTTCTTATCTTCGATCATTAACATTAGTTGATGTTGAAAAACAAAATATACAACATTTGAAAATATCATTACCACAATTATCTGAACTCATCTCTTTTCATATGATTTGTCAAATGTTTGAAAATAATGAAATATTAGATGTTCTTCCAATGTTTAATCTACGAACATTATCAATATTATCACTTCATTCTGTTCAAACATGTATTAATAATACTTCAAATATTATAAATTTAACAATTCGTACTTGTTCTTTAGAGCATTTATTATATCATTTATTTAAATGTTTTCCTATGTTAAAATATCTAAATGTTGAATTTATTTCTCGACATAATCATTCGATAAAGGATGATAATTCACTTATTAATAAATATAATGGTATTCATCTAAAACAATTGATTATTGGTTTATTTAAGTATAATTTTGAAGATTTTGAAATATTTGTAAAACAGATACCTAATTTAAAAAGTTTAACAATACATTCAAAGAACAATATTAATATGATTAATGCTTACAAATGGAAAAATTTAATTCAATCTTCATTACTTTATTTGAATATTTTCAAATTTAGATTCAGTTGTAATCGTAGACATAATGATAAAATTATTTTGAAAATATTTCAACGTTTTCAAGATGATTTTTGGTGTAAACAATATCAATGGTTTACTGAATATTCATTTGAAAAAGATTTAGCATCTATTTATACAATACCTTATTTTGAAAATCGATATAAATTAGAATTGAATATGAAAAGATTTCCTAATAAATTAATTAATAATTCGAATACATTTGACAAAGTAATCTATCTAACATTAGATGATAAAATTGTAACAGATAAATGTCAATATCATTTTTCAAATGTCGATTCATTAGTATTATTTACGTCAGAAGTGAATCAAAATCCAATTGACATTAATTATTTGAAAATAATTGTTAATTTATCTCATTTAAAACATTTAGATATGTTTATGTATGAGAAAATAATATCATCAAAAGAATTATTAGAAATATTAAAAGAATCACCAAAATTATCAATGATTACAATCAATTCAACAAATTTAAAATTATTATTCAATGATGATGAATTATGTAAGTATTTAAACAAAATGATTAAAAAATTACATCTAGATAAACAATTTAATTTATCATTCAATAATCTTAATCAATCGCAAAACTTTCAACCTTCATTCCATAGTCGTAATGAATTGAAGAAATTTTGTGAAATTTTTTCAAATATTGAACAACTTATATGTTATGTTATCGAACCAGATGATGTATTATTTTTAGTAAATCAATTAACAAAATTATCAACTATGAAAGTTTATTTACCACCATTAGGTGGTCATAATTATTTTTTTACTTTATTTGCACAAGAATCATCCAGATTAAACTTTATATTTCGAACTCGACGTATTGGGTCAAATGCACCAGAACTATCTATGTGGATTGGTAGAAATGAATTAATCCTGTATTAGATTTATTAATAATATTGTGTGTTTTTTTTTCAATAAAGAATGAAATCAATGTTTTGTTTTTTTTTGCTCAAAAGATTGTCTAAATTTTTAAATCACTTTTGCAGTAATCACTGATCTATTATTTAATGAATAAAAAGTCGCCCTTTATTTTCTTTCACTTACAATTATTCATATTACAAATAAAGATTTGCCAGTATTAATTTTCGTCCACTAAAGTGTTTACCTAATAATAGAAGGTTTCGTATGGTAATTGAACATATGCGAGTCAAACTAGAGTACGAGTCTTAATCTCTTTCTGTCCACCCTCATACACACATCCTAGACTGTTTCAGCCTACCTGTGTAATTTTCTACATGCTAATATTATGATACCTTTTCAATGAAAATAGAAAACTG